AAGATATTCCTCTTGGGCAACGTTGGTGATCAACTGTGTATTATGTTTGACTATTTTTGAAGGCCTTTTGTTAAAATATTTCGTGCTACGGTTTTAAACCTAATTTGTGTGATTATGTACCAAAGCATTTTTGCTTCTAGAAGCCTCTAGAATACCTATTCGGAGAATACCTGTTTCTCTCGGACACGATGTCTACGTTTGATCGAATCTTTAATAAATATAACAATTTATGTTTTGGTCCAGTTACGTCCGCGAACAACTATAGTTTTTTTTTCATTGAATAGAGTACTATTAAATGAAACCTTGGAAATGGTCCAAATGAGCACCTAACGACTTATAAATAAGCCTAAAATGAAAATAAGTCTGAAATAAAGTTTTCCATATAACAATTTTAATAGGTAGAAAACTGAACTCCATAAAAATGCTCAGCTCATAGTATATTGAGTAATATCTTGGAAGTTTACCACCTCAAAATCTCTATTAAAAATAATAAAAATAAAGTGATGGATTTCCAACGCAAATTGTCCGTCAGATCAAAAATACGTGTTTACAATTCAACGTTGGAACAAGGAAGACATTTTAACTACCCTAGCTACGATTTTCTCTTTGAGCTATGATTATGAGAACCATATTGATATCAAACTCCATCGGTTCTAACAAATTGGCGGCACAATAAAAGTCTGGAAGAAGATAAGAAAAGAGCGAAGGAACCGAAAAGACCTCAACATTCTCTCCATATTAAACAAAATAAAATAGAGTCGTTCAGGGAGGACACCACACCTACAAGGGATGGAAGCTGGTAGGCTTACGAAAGTGACTTACCATTATCGGCCAGAGAGACCTTGCTCAAGCTAGGCAACGATGAAATGAACGCGGAACACTGGCCTTCCGGCCTAAACCGTGATAGGAAGAAGAAGAGTGATATTTATTACAATTGTGTTACGTACGAATTTATTATTTTCTATTTAATACGCGTTTTTTATAACTGTGAATGTTTCTTTAATGAAACCCCATGTAATCAGTCTTTTGTCTTTTATCGTTCACTTATCGCGTTGCCAGCGACGTTTCCGCCCTCGAATAACCTCGTTTGCCCGCCGCACTGCTGGGCGTGAGTGGCCGTGCCCGCCGGGGAAGGGCAGGAATACGACTGCCGTGCGAGCACAATCCTGCCCTGTGTCAACAGTTCGCCGAGGGGGTTGCCATACGTCCTGAAAAAGCGGCACACGTCCTGAATATCGACATGTGTCCCGCTGCCCTGTCAGATTTTTCTTTCTTTCTGCTAAATGTCCTGAATTTTTATTCTCTGTCATAATTCCACACGGTCCTACAAAAAACTGCGTTTGGAGCTACTTTTGAACTACTTCACAGAACTATGCGCTAAATTAGAGAACACCAACGACTAATTCCTTTGTGAGGCAAATATTGTTCTTGCTGCGATCTGAGAGCTCAAAAATATATAAATTGTGCGTTCTGAATCGACGAGCGTCGGTCACAATCGGTTAGTGCAAGAAAATCGGTGATGCAAAGGCGAAACGGGCTCACGGAATTTAATATCGTCAAAAGCAATTCTCTATTTAATATGTTTCAATATCCTGAAAAACGTCACACCTTTTGTGATGGAAAAATACGGCAATTACCTGAATAACCTGGTAAAGTCAGGAAAATTCGTCCTTGAAAAATGGTGTTTACTCTGTTATTCTTGAAAGTGCAGTGTAATGTATCTTGGTCAACTATTTAGTTGTTTACGTGATGTGCTATTTCCTTCTTATACGATTTACTTGATATCCTATTCACGTGTTAAAAATAAACAATTCGCTCTGAAATATATTTTGGATGTTCTGAATTTCATTGTAACTCTTAGGGGAACCTTATTCGCGGGCGGAGGGGGGGGGGGAGCGAACTCATTACTCTCACCCTACTGCCAACTCTCTTTACCTTATTAATGAGCAGAATGTTTGCAGAGCGAGTTTTCAACCCAGGGATCCCACAAATGTTCGAGATTAAAACTGATAAATTTTCTCGTTCAAGTTTTCAACTTCGGGATTACAATCTTGGTGAAAGCCGTTCGGAATGTCGTCGCGTCCTAGTAGCCAACGTTCGGCCGTCACACTGTGACCTTTCTCAGGCTGGCCTTCATTCAGAACATACGGCGAAATGCTCGACATTGCAGATTTACAAGCTAGTTCTGTTGATATCGCATTATCACTTCACACACTAATGATATTTTCAATTTCCGTCATTTCGCCAATGATTTATTTAGCAACCTGCCAATGGTCGTAAGACGTGCATTTCTGATACTTCTATTCTCTGCTTTGAGTAAGAGTTCATGTCTCTGAACCACTCAGAACCACATAGTCGGTGTAGATACGAGTAGTACTTTGTAGGCTCTTGGAACAATATCTACTTTAACTTTAGAGCCTCATACAGATTTTAATGTGCTAATAATATATTAGTATATATGCAGCTTCTTTCCAAAATCATTAGAATTATAACACGATATGTCGCATCCTAAATTATTAAAACGATTAACTTGTTATAAGTTGCTATTAAAAATTATAATTTTGACCCTACCTGTTTCTTTTCCTAAAAAGGCAAATACTTTTGTACTTATAGATGACATCTTCGTAGTGTATAGCGTTCGAATAATTGTCATTTATATAAATATTAAAATGATTTAGTGACATTGGACACCGTCGCCAGACCCCTTGTCTAATTATTTTTATATGAAACATTAAATATTTAAGCATTTGCTTTAAATTAACATCATATTTTTAAACTTGTAGCTCCTCTAGCAACCCCCTATCCCGTAGCACAAACATTGAATATGCTAATGTTACAGTTAGTGATGAATTTTGAAAAAACCTTAATGTACTAATTCATATTCGTTATTCTAGTAAGCGTAACGTCATTTTACAATGACTAAAGTAAAGGAAGTGAAACCTTATTTAGTTATCTGTATTTAATCAGAAAGACGACTTTTTGCATACACGTAAGCATGCATATCATCGCTCAATTAGAGAAATAATTTTCTGAAGTGTTTAATATTTATTTGAACTACAATTCATTATTTTTTTCGAATTTATATTTTCATATTTGTACCACCCCTCGTGAAGAAAGCTTCTCCATCAAAATAATAAGTCTAAAAATAAATAAAAGCAATAATAACGTATGTATTTGGCATTTTAGAGCCGGATTAATCCCTCATTCGCCAGCTAGCGATGTTTCCAGGTTTGGACCCTGTTCTATTTATTCACGCCCGGGGGTAAGGGAGTCATGTGGCGAGCACGACGTGTTCCGATCACCGTATCTAGCACACTTGAACTGCCTGAGCTTTTCCTTTCGCCACACAGCGACACAAACTGGGTCGACTCTATTAGAAAGCTAGTTTTATTTTTGCTCCGATCGGGAATCTAACCCGGGATCGCACCACTAAAAGCTAGCACGATATCCATGAGCCACCTTAGAGGAGGTTAACACTACTACTACCACTACTGCTAATAATAATAATAATAATAATAATAATAATAATAATAATAATAATAATAATAATAATAATAACAATAATAACAATAATAATAACAATAATAATAACAATAATAATAACAATAATAATAACAATAATAATAAACACTAGGGCGGGTTTTGATTACCTAAAAATCGACAAAAATTATCAATAAAATGCTCTTAAAATGTCCTAACAACAAAGAAAAATGACGTAAAATGTTTTCAAAACCAGTTCGGCGGATGAATAGTTGAAATTGTTGGAGAGAAGTTACTAATGTAATCGAGGCTTCTTCTATTCGTTCAGGTGCCTTCAGCTTGCAAACTTTTGGTTTGGACTATTCTTTATGAGAAAATCTGTGCCTTTAGTTATCTGGAAATCTGCTGAACCGCCAATGGCGCTGGCAGGCGTCACACCTTAAGGTTGCTGACATCACAATTCTGAGCGACCAACACGAATAGGATGCCAAGTACAGGTTGTCAGGGCTTCACTGGAGAACATTTGTTACCTCTCGGAAATATTATTCGAAGCAAGTGCTATTAAAGTTATATTCAAATCGATTAAATCGGAGAAAATGCATTAAAAATTACGGGTAAAAGTAAAAAATAACTTATTAGTCGAAATCGACGAAAAATGCAAAAAAATGACGTAAAAATGGGTTATTCCCTTTTGTCATAGCATGAAATGAATTTCTATACTAAATAGCATTTTTATAAAGTGAAAATAAAAATAAAAGACATATCATTCAAATTCGCTCCCTAATCATCACTACACCATTCTTACATTATCTTACCCTCTACATATTTATAGACAAAAACTAAACTGTACAATTTCATAGCCTTTTTGCGAGCTAAGAATATGCATAGCAATCGCGAAATACGTAAGGGGGAAGTGCTAACGTCCTTCGTTATCAAGAGAAAAGAAGTTCCGTGAGAATCCGCGAGCAACCGATTAAGGGGAAGGTATATCGCCACCTCTCGCCCACGCGCCGGGCGCTATAGAAGACAATTGCGCCAGCGGCGACCGACGAGAAGCCAGCGAGCGTCGGCCTGCGGCAGACCTGCCAGCACCTCAGGTGAGCACACATCCACAGAAGGTGGCGGACTGGATAAGAGTTATTCGCGATATGAATGGGGAAAGTCACGTTTAATTTTGCGACTTGGAAATGTTGCGACCCGAGACCAGTAGGTCTAGTGGCGCAATCCTATGAGCAAATGAAATCACTTTTACCACGCGTTTATGTCAAACGCTATTTTTACACAGCCGTATTGACTTTTATTTCATGTTAATTAAAATACAAATAACTTAATGATGCATTAAAGTAAGTTGTAGCTGATTCAGCCGCACGAGTCGTTTCCCGTGTTGTTCTTTTTTTGCCAGCTAAGTTTTTAACAACACATATAACTAGTGAATCAAGCCTAATTTCGCCCTCCATCCGTCGAAAGGACCCTAGCCAGATTCCATCGCCCTCAGCGACTGTCAGCGCTTCGCGGAGGTGATGCGGGGCGAGTCGGCGCTGGTGGCGCTGGTGGCGTGCTGGTGCGCCGCCGAGGCCACGCTGGTGTGCAGCAACACCACCTTCTGCGAGATGGTGACGTGCGAGCGGGTGGACGCGGGCAGATGCGCGGGCGAAGTACGGCCCAACGCCACCGTGTGCGGCTGCTGCCCGGCCTGCATCCAGATCTACGGTAAGGGGAATGGCTCAGAAGAAGCAAATGGCGCCAAACTACCAGACGGCCAGTGGGCTTTTCCCTAACCACATATCTCCCACCAGTCGGGATAATCTTTTAAGCTCCCGACCGTCTCCCGGCTTTTGTGGTAGTTTAGTGTAAGTGTGCGCAAGGGGTGAGGATATGACAAGGAGAAGAAGGAAAGATCGCGCTCGGTCCCTGACCCATTTTTTAGGGTGCTACTCCAGCATGTCTGGTATTGATCGGAGAAACAACGGAAAACTACCGATCAGAGCCACCGGCGCCTATAGTTCGTCTCTAGACAATGGCTGAATCCACCTGGCTATCTAGCTAGAGTCGAAAATCCTACCACGCACCGTTGGGACTGGAACCTAGGATCTCTCAGTCGTAGGCGCTGCAGTGACATCAGTTGATGCTTTGAGCCACCTCTCCCGGTAAAAGGGAATCGAGGATAAATACCTTTTTCAAATGAACATGTTAGGGGAAACCTATATCTCTCTCAATATGAGTAAAAGGGAATGTGCGTAGTCTGCCGCGCACAAAAACTACTCGACCGATTTTACTGAAATTTTTCACATTTTGTTCTTAGTACTATCAGGGGTATTTGAAGAGTGGTTTGAATTAAATCGGACAAGTGGTGCGTTGTTTTTGCAAAGTTAACTGACAATATGAGCTCTACACCGTTCCTGGAGGACCTTGCTTGAAGTGCGATCTATGGATATCGTTTTTGATCTTCACGCCTTGCTTTGACTCATAAAATCGTATAACTTCGAAGTTGCGATCTAGAAAGCAGAAAGTTGAACCAAATACTGGCACAACATTATTGGAATATTTTATTTTTAAAGTGTAGTGTAATACACTAGTAGTTCATACTTAGTTAATATTCATTGAATAAATTGATATTGAACTTTAATTGTATTTATTTAATACACTGCAATAGCAACGCTTTGCCATATTCGTCAGTCTCGTATAAAAAAGACACACTTGTCACATTTGCTCCTGACTGACACACAACTGGTGGTGCATTAGTTTTTCTTAGGTGCATATTCTGAAGCATATTATGATATTTCGTGTGCAGTTTTACTTCTTCTCTTAACCTCCAGGGCACGTAAAGGGATCGAAGATGATCACTTTTGCTAATGAACATGTTGGGAGAATATACGCTTGTGACGTTTACCTCTGATTGGTGAGCAACTCATCGTGCACGAGTTTTTGGCAGAAGCACATTCTGAGGCAGAGATTTTAAGTGCAATTTTGCTTGTGTGTTTTGGGAAGGTAAGGGGCTGTCCCACCCCAAGCAAAGCCCCTTCCCACGATACCCTTTCGCTCCTGCCCCGTCGGGGGGCGCAAGGGCATGCAGCAGCCGGGCTGCGCGGGGGCAGCGCCATTCCGACCCCTCCTTCGTCGTCACTCGACCTCGGAACGTTAGCCACCTAAAATAGGGAACAACATTATGAAATTACGCACTATTAAACATAAAAACTGACGTTTTAGGCCCTTAAAATGTTACAAAATTATAAAACGAGGCGTTTAAAAGCCATTAGAAACGACAAGTTATGTTTCTGGCATCTGAAACTGATCACAAAGGATTAAATTAGGCTCTTTTCATTTTTCAGAAAAGTGAAATATTTTTACACTTATAGGAGTCACTACATGCTTATTGTTTTATTTACATTTATTTTCATTCATTCTTTCACACTTTCCACTCTCAACCTGTCAACAGAGCAGCTGCGCCGTGGATAGGTGCAATGGCCGAAGAAGTGCGTGCTCAACGGAGACATCATCTTCACTTGAGGGGCTCTTTGTGTTCGGTGTGTTGAATGAGAGATTTCGGTGCGAAGTCGACTGCATATTCGATCAGAGCATATTCACGTTTCGGGAAATTCGAGAAAGTATTTCCGTTTCGGTTACAAAAATTAATCAAATGAGTAAGTAAAATATGAAAAATCATCAAAATTACATATTTTAGGCAAATTTAGGTAAAAATAGTAAAATAGACATCAACTACAATTTTAGGACATTTTAAGCACTATCATTCAATACATCTATTTTTTCACGATTCGTAAACATCTTCAATTATTTTCCATGATCACAGAAACTAAATAGGCATTTGTCCTAAACTCCGAGGTCTAGTCATTAGTGATGCTGGTTGCTACTGTTCTATGAAAATATTTTTTTAAATAAACTCATAGTAAAGAACTGTTGAAGGGTGTAGCTTCGGTTACTATAAACGCAAATTTGTTGAGTGTGGCTGGACCGAGTTGACGAGAGAATGGACGCCTGAAGTAGACCGGAAATATTAATGTAAAATTCTGGTTTTAAAACCCCATTAATATCAACTTCAGGATATTGAAAGTTTGGTGAAACCTTGGGGAAGGTACTTCAGCAAATTAATAGGTGGTTCTATAATAAGGAACAAGATATCCACGGAAGCGGAGAAGTAACATTTGCCGATTGATTCTGGATATATACTTGTATGAACAAAACATTTGCTTGTTATTGCATATTGTATAAACAATTGAAAGTGTTCTTATTTAAATTACCTCAAGAGAAAGGCCACCGGACAGCTACGTTTGGTGAGTGGCAACACAGCTGCAACTGAATTAACTGTACGTTGCAAACGATCGCGGGATTTCGCGTGTGCATTCGCTGCAGCAGGATTATTGGGTTCTGTAGATTCGTAGTAGCTACAATGATGCAAGTTACTTCCATCCCGATTGTTGGCCAGATGCGCACGGTGCTGTCTCCTGGGTGTAGTCTGACTCCTCCCGTTATCTCGAGGCTAGGCAATGGTTGGCTCAGGGAATTCGCTAGCCACAGGTGAGGAATACACCCGACAATCAGAGGCGCAGCTACGTTCTCGGAAGTGGGGGGCGGGTCCATCTGCTGGGGGTCGGCGGGTGCCCCCAGGCCGCGCACGGATTGCACCGGCCCAGCCACGCTCCTGCCCAAATGGCTCTGGCGGTCCGGAACGATGGGAGGCAGGCATAGGAATATCACGAAGGGTCCCTTCAAGTCTCTGAAAATAACTTGTGAACTATCCCACTTCAATGAACACCAGAGATGTGGAATCGCCTTCACGTTTGGATGCTCCTCTGCCAACGGAACTCGGTCGGAAGGCAAGCCAAGTCATTAGAAAGACTGTCAGTTGGTGAGATCGGGGAAGGGCTCCCACTTACGCCGCTATGTCGCTATCTGGCCATTTACAACCCATATCGAAATATCTCACTCGCCTCTAAAATCATTGGCAGCTATTTAAATATAAGTATTTGCTTTAATGTAATATTACGCTTTTGTATTTGATGATGATTCTCAAAACCTGCTCGAGATTTATTCTTTAAATATTTGTTGCAAAAGGGGCCAGTAAAAGGCTACTTTTCATTACAATCTATGATTTTTTTAATTTGTACACATTCAACTTTTGTCCCACACCTACATCACCTTCTTAACAAAGTTAGAGATTTGTTCATAATGAAATACGTTTGTCGAAACTAACTCTTGCAAAGAATTCTTGCAAATTGTTCAAAAATTCATAAGATTTTCTCAAAATATCCCTGGTATCTTTTTTTTTTCTTTTTACTTTCCCGTAGACATACTTATATACGGAGTAATATACATAGTATAGGGGATGTTATGCTGCGCGATAAACGGCGAATTTTCAGCAGAAAAAAATTCATAGCCGGGCCCTGATAACGAAAAAGTTGATAAATTCAGCTGATAAATTAAGAAAAAATCCTCTAACACGAGGTCTAGTCAGAATTCCTGTTTTGTGCTTCATACCAAAAAATCAATTGAAGGCAAAACGTCCGTCTGTGAACAATTAGCACCTAAACTATGCGTAGGATTTTTTTCAAACTGAAGAAATTCCTGTCCATCTGGCTCGAGTCGAAACTTTGATATTTTGAAAAACAATCTTCAAAATTTGGGGGTGCATGAAGCCCTCCGGACATTTTCAAAATTTTCTCAAATCGGCTCCAAAGTTGTTTTTTTAAATTTCTTGTAAGAATAGAGTAACATAAACTTATAAAAGTGGCATAGGTCCTATTTTCAAGATTAACACAGAATTTTCGAAACTTTCAAAAGTATGAATTTTTTCTGTCTTCCTACAACTACAAAATTAAAGATGAAGATTTATCTTTCAAATTAAATTTGTTCTTCATAATGAGTTATTTCATTCAGGTCATGTACATTTTTTTAACTGTTAGTAGCTTTCGTGCAATATTGTGTGAAATTTGAGCATTTTTAAAAAATCACATATAAAAATTTCCGCAAGAACGGCTCCAAACTTTTTTTTTACTTTTGTTAGGGATAGTATGACTCTATCAGATGTCATACAAGTCATATTGCTCTATTATTTTTTTTATTATACAAATGTAGTTTTTTGACTTGTCTCTCACATCGTTAATATTTACATTAGCGGCAATTTGTTCGCATTATTATATTTATGAGTACATATGCTTTAAATAATGTCAGATAAAGTTTCTCGAAAACTCAACCATTTTCTGTGAAAACTAACTCTAACTTCCGCATTTTCAGAAACGCTCATACGCCATTTTCTCAAAAACGCTCAATTGTTTTCGAACTTTTCGAAAGGATAGTGTTAGTTGTACTCTTTAATATGATGTAAAGTTCATTTTGGTTTTGTTTGCTTTTTTTTTTCTTTTTTTTTTTTCTTTTCTTTTTTTTCTTCAAAAATAATGCTATAATATTTTGAGATCTCTCACGCCGTTGATATGCACATTTCCAGCAATTTGTAAACACTATTGTATTTGTGACTTAAAGTACTTCAAATGAAGCGCTTCGAAAACGCAAACTTTTCCGCGAAAAAGAACTTCAAATTTCGAATTTACAGTAGCGCTTAAACGCCAGATTTTTAAAAACGGCTCCAATTTTTTTAAAGAAAATTGCCATTTGAGACGACGTTTTACTGTTCGTTAACAATCTTAAAACAATATATTCGCTCTACTATTAAGAAACCGAAAAATTAAGAAAATGTCAAAAAATGTACTTTGGGCGGCGATAGATGGCAGCCGGCGAGAGTATGTGGCTAGTCCGAGGAGCTAGCCGAGACCAAAGGAAATATGTAACTAATATGGAAAAGTCTGTGCCATTCTGTTGCACCACTATGGAAAACAATGCAATGAAACAAGTTCTATCTTCATTTAAACTTTTGAATTTTCAAAAATTACACAAAAGTGTATGTTACCTTGCTTTTTAAGTGTATGACAATGCAAGTAGTTGTTTTTTTTATTTTATTTTTTGTATTTTCATTCAATTTCCAACGCTTTATCATCATATGTTCAAATATGACCCCTAGCTATCAAATAATTTCATTCATCCCAGGGAAGGTTAAAAGGTGTTGATTTGGGAAGGGGCTGTAGGCTAGACTAGTAGGTAATATATAGGAATAAAGTAAGTAATAATATGTAGATAATATATAGTGTAGTAAGAATATAGGCTAGTAAGTAATTGACATGGCTTTGTGTTTGTGATTAATTGTAATTGTGATAATTCTGATATTTCCTCAACCAGACTAAAATATACAAAGGCTTTCCCAAATTGAAAACTACTGGAGGGAAAAGTTAATGAATTTTATCATATTCAGTAAGGCCCTTGATGGTGTCTGGCAACATCCTGGGAATAAATTCATCATAGGAAATATGGAAATGAGAATGAACTCTGATTCAATTGGAAACAAACTTGCCTTGGGTAAACTGTCAATACCTAATGCTTAAAAAAAACTATACATTTTTAAAATACTAGTATCCTTCATATAGGTCTCTCATAAGTTATGTTAATATTCATGATGTAACAAAAAATGTATTTCAAATTTGCATTAGAAAATATAATGATGTTATAACGATGTTTTAAGGTTAATTTAAAAATGAGTCAGTGATCATTTAGAGAAGTCTTTCATCTAAGAGAAATACCCCATAGAGTGCAAAGTTTTATTCTATAAATTAATGTCGGTGAACCCGATAATCTATGAGCTATAAAAAAAATTGAACTAGATAAGGTCTATTTTCCACATGATAGTATCTGTATGTTTAACAAAATCATTAGTCTTTAGTAATGAAAAACGGTCTGCCTCAGCTGCACAAGAGCTTAGATTACCAACCAACCAACCACAGCGTTGAAGGCTGCAGCATTTAAGTTAAGAATAATTAATGTTTTCACCACATAATGGAGACATCATTGGCATAGCTAAGTTGTGGAAAGTTGAAACACTTTTATCTATCTTCTATCTGGAATAAAAGTAAATTATGTTTCTTTCTTCCTACGGCTTTTTCCAGCTTTTTCAGGGATGTCGATTTTGACTATCTGTGCTGGGTACTCCCTATGTCCCTCATGGGGATGTATTAACCTATACACAAGACACACTTGCAAGCTCCTTGGTCTGTGGTCAGCTGACTCACATGGCCTTCCATCACTACACACATATGTGGAAGACAAGGGACAAACAACCATGCCCACTGCAGGACTCGAACCCGTGACTCTTCAGACTGAGTTGCTGAGTCAGCACACGGTCTAATCACCTCGGCCATCCGGGTCAGCTGCAATAAAAGTGGAATTAACAATTGAAAATTGAATATAACTGGTGTAATGGAGAAGAAAAGCATGGAATGAGATTTGTTTGATTCCTTGCAAGCCCTTGTCTGTGAGGGTCCTTATTAGAGGCCCGTGTCTGTGGAAGCCTGGTGCTGCGCAGCTTGGCCCATGGTGGCATGATTGGCTTCTCATGTGTGTATGTATGTACTCTGGCACTACAACTTTGTGAGGCTAGAGCATGCCATGACACCCCAGCCTGACAGGTATGGCTTGGGTGTGGTAATTAGGTCACAACCACATCACACTAATATCTTGACACTTGTTATCTAACAGATGTTTTCACATTGTCACACAGCTATATGAACTGGAACATTATAGTGAAAAGCAACAACTATTGTTTTAGCCCCAACTGGGGATCAAACCCAAGGTCATGTCATGGAAAAGACGCTTGCTAGCCATGAGCCAACAGGGGGCAGTTGGTTTCTCAAACATCCAAGTACCAAATTTTTAACATTATCTCATCCTTAAGTATTCAACTTTCATCATTCACAACTCAAGGTCACTCCTAGCAACATCCATTCATTGGAAAGTGATGACAAACCATCAGTATGATCTCATGCCTAGAAATGGGGAAGCACAAACCTTCCTCACCTGCATGCTGGCTGCACCAACCTTCAGATTGAGGATATCATATCAAAGAAAAATGTATATTTACATCTTTATACTTCTCTCTGTTCTTGCCCATCTCAACTAATTAGTTGAAATAAAAATGAGATGTTTAATCAGACTTAAGAAGCTAACAGCAGTCACCAAATGGAAAAATCTTTCTTTTGAAATTTACCTCATTTCATTCAGCTGTAATTGTGAAGTGAAAAATATAAATTATAGAACCTATTTTTCTCACTGAAAGGCTTGAATAATTAGCAAATTGTAAGAAAGCTGCAGATATTTTCATTGTAATATGGTATTCATTTTACAGATGTGGGTGCCTATTGCCCAGAATACAATGGTAGGCGACGCCAAGGAACAAGATATACTTGGGAATGTAGTCCTGGGTCTCTGTGCATCAATAATCAGTGCACAAAAATAGAAACAACTACAGCAACTTTGGAAACAGTAGTGTAGAGTTCAGATACCAATTTTTTTGTAAGTATTTTATTCCAGAAGGAAAATGTAAACGGATAAATAAATTGGAAACCGAATAAATTGGAGTAATAATATTTCATAATAAATTGCAATTGTATATAATATTTCATAATGAATTGTAATGAAATAATATTGAAGTAAGTAATAATAGGAAAATTATTGTTTATTATGAAATGAAATATATGACATTTAAATATGGTTCTATTACTCCAGCCTTGGAGTTCTTGTATCTGTTGAATCAAACACCACATAAAGAATTACAAACTTGACCAGACTAACCCACAAGAGAACAAAGTCAACATGTAATGGGGCTCAAATATTAACAATAATGACTTGAATCTGGATTTACATATACAAAAGATGTCTCTAATATACACTGAAATATTAAAAATATTCATAAAATATGGAGTTTCAATTTTTCAGAAAACAAATATCCCTTTAATAAAGAGCAGTGCAATTAGCTTAAAAAAATGTAGAAGTGTGGTATTACTTTGAATTATTTATTAGAGATATGAAAAATAAATTGAGAGGAAAAGGAATGTTTTGAAAAAAACAAATTTTTTGTAAAGATCGCTCTTTTTTAGTGCAAAAAAATTAAAGCAATAAATTTAATCAATTCAATATCAATTCATATCTTATTCTCATTATGTTATAATGCAGGGAATGGATTCAATGATTTCATTGGTATCTTTCCATTAATTTTAAGATTATTTTTATATAGAATAGCCAACCTACTTTTGTTGGAAATTTTGCAGTCAGTGAATACTTTAAAAAACTTCTGAAAGCTTTATTTTGTAATTTATAAAGTGGAATGCTAGAAACAATTAAATCATTAATATTTATTGAAAATGCGGATCAAGAATTCCCCTTTAACCAGCAATCTATTAACTAACCGCTTTTTCTATCAACAGCAATGAGTGTGAAAAATCAATTCACCTGTTTAAATTAAGCTAAATATGTAGTTGTTTAATTACTGATAAAATAAAAAACATTACTTTATTACTATTAAAGCTAAATAATAAAATGAAACACAATTAAAGTTAAAGCACCTACTCATTTGACTGTACTGGTAATTTGGGATTTTCATTCAAATTTAACATTCTTTCCATGAGTGTTACACAATATCAGTTTTCAGTCACTTGAAGAATTTCCTCTTTTTTTAACTTCTTCTTCTTCTTCTTCTTAGAAAATAGGGAAATGTCTTCAACCATATTTGTTTGTCTTCTTAACTATTCCCTAATAATTTTAACATTTATAAAATATGTAGATTGTGATAAATTTAAATATTATAAAAAGTATTTTAAAAAAGCCATTTTTTAATTACTGTAAAACCACAAATAAACAGGAAACTTCAAATACGCAAAATAAAATTTGGAAAGTTTTAAATGGGCTGATTTAGAAATAAATTTGAAACTTTTCCATGTAATAATTAGTAGGAAAAATATGCATTTGCATGTAAATCCAAGCACTGATATAACTCTCAAATTTCTAGTTGTTATATGTTACATTTTTTTGAATGCAAAACTGAAGGTAGGTATTTATCAAAATAAAAAAAGGTATCTACTTCACCAACAATCCAATTAATGAAGGTAGCACTTGGACTCTTTATAATAGTCCTCAGTTGTCATTTATATGTACCCAATCTAAACTCCCTTATATTCAAATGCTGGTGTTATGGTAATAATTAATAATTTGTTCTTACATATACACTAAATAAAAACACTACAATGTTGCAAAACTTTAGGGTATGCTCCTGCATTGAACATACCAAGATCAACTACAATGCTATAGGTGGTTTAGCACAGGCAAAAACACAACAGACAATCAAAATATAGTTAGTTACTTAGCTTGTTAGCTATCTAGCTAGTTAGTAAGTTAATTAGCTAGTGCACTAGCAAGTTAGGTAGTTAGTTAGCTAGCTGGTTAGTTAGTTAGTTAGTTAGCAGCTAGCTAGCTACTAAGTAGCTAGCCAGTTAGTGAACGAGTTAGTAAGTTAACGAGTAAGGTAGCTAGCTATGTAGCTAGTTAGTAATTTAGTTAGTTAGCTAGTTATTTAGTTAGCCAGCTAGTTATTTAGTTGGCTAGTGAGTTGACTAGTTATTTAGTTTAGTAAGCTTGCTGACTAGATAACTAGCTAGTTTTTTAGTTAGATAATTAGTTAGCTAGCTAGTTAATTAGTAAGTAAGAGGGCTAGCTTGCAGCTAGTTAGTTAGATAGATAGCTCGTTTGTTAGCAGCTAGCTAGTAAGTAGCTAGCTAACTAACTAGCAAACTAAGTAATTAACTAACTAGGTAAATAGCTAGCTAACTAAATTTCTAGCTAACTACCTATCTTAGTATATAGCTAATTAGCTAGCTAACTAGCGAGTTAGCTCGCTAGCTTACATACAAACGAACTACTTAGCTAGCTAGCTAACTAATCAAATTGCTAACTAGCTAAGTACCTAGCTAGGTACCTGACTAGCTTGCTAATTAAACTAAATATACACCATGAGCAATATGGAAGTCGACTGAATTTGAAAGAATTCTGAAAGCCTAGCATAAAGAACATAATTTAGTTTTCAATTCATTTACATGGATATTCCATTTAAGGTTTGACTGAATTGAAAAACCTAAAGATGTTGTTACCTTAACAGTCAATGGTGCGCTGTTCATTTTTAATGGAGTATTGAGCTGTTTATTTGAAATGGAAAACTGCTATGAAATAATTTTTTTTCTGTGTATTATTAATTTGTTATTGCGGAACCAATTGAAATATCTGATATTTTACTATTTATGGCTTCTTTATTGCAAAGAATATTCGTATCATCCGCAAATTGAACTGTTCTATTTCTAATCATTGAGAGCGTATCATTTATGTATAGTGGGAAGAGACAATTACTTGAATATCATGTTCTGTGATTGTTAAAATAATCATTAGCGACTATCAATTGTAAGTATTCAATGTTCTTTCTTATAAATCATTATTGTAATATCTACGAAAAACATCGAGGTGAGGGAATTTCTTTGGAAATTGTTTTTCATAAATATTGTTACTTATATTAAGGTAACATTGATAGCAGGATTTGCTGTTACAGGCCAAAACAATATCTATGAATATATGTGAAAAGACCTTGGTGAATATGAAACAATTCATGAGTATGCAATATTTTTTCTACAGCACTTCTTTCTGTGGATAGAGCACACTGGATAGCAAATTTACTATCATCGTTCATCATTAATTCACTCGCTGCAGGACAGAGGAGGCTTATGAGTTTTGGTACCTTTTAAAATGTTATTTCTTTGTTACAAGTCAACATGTTGGTGTTGTTTATTTAGGAGCAATAAAAAGAACTATTGAACTATTCAAAGAATTCAATTTATGAACAGGATATATACATATACAACACAAGGCACATATTAATATACATTCTTTTTTCTCTTTATGTACAACATATATGATCTAGATACTTTTTTTTTTTTTAGAAGAAATAATCTTCAATACAATACTATTTCACTGTTTATCAAATAAAATCTGCACATATTAAAATGTGAAATTCTTAATGCCCCTTCATTTCTTGCCGAAAAGTAATTAATTTTGAAAGCCTAAATTTTCAGATCATGACGAGTACTCAGCAGAATGTATTAACGTTGAACAAATTTCTGTTTTAAGTACACAGAACAAAAAACTATGTACAAAATATCAAGATACAAAAATATCTACAATTCTCCTTTTATGTACAGAATATATAACTACATTATATCCTTTGAAAGATCTTGTATAACTGTTTACTATGAGATAACTTATAGAAAGCAGAAGAAAAAAATGATGTGATTTGAAAGCTTAAATGTTTTCTTTCTAACAATTCATTACTGAGAAAAGAGTCCAATGACTTGAGCTTGAAAAATATTCAAAATGTTTCTCATTACACATGAGAAATAAGAGAGTTCACTGTTTTAGAGAGAAAAAGTAATGAAATAGAAAAATTAATATGATTTTCAAATATGCACTTTTCTTCTTCAGGAATTTTAATAGATCATTACAACTAGTTCAGAATACTTTTCTGCATGGTGGCAACACATACTGAGCACCATACAGTTTAGGCTCAGGAGAACTGCATTTTATGCAAAGAACAAAACACACTTAAAAACAGACTGGCAAGAGTAAGCTCATTTTTTCTTAAGATTCTAATACAAAAGCTCTGAAAATAAATAAATTATATACGTAGGAAAATGCATAAAAACGTACTATGAAAGGACAATTCTTAAAAACATGCATGCTTCAATAAAAAAGAGAGAACATGAATTGTCTTTTGTTAAGTGAAAGAGGCACATCACAAGTACAGTTAACAACATAGGTTTGTCTGTTTGTAATTTCTTTCAAACTTAAAGGATAATGAAAACTTGAGAAGTTCTTAAATTTACTCAATGATTTTTATACTCAATTAATGACATTTTAAAAATTAATACAATGATGTGATATTCACAAATTATATTCTATAATAATCTGTATAAAAACAATCTATTTTAATAGTAAGTAATCGAGTCAATAAATGATTATTCTTTGCAAAACAGAACCATCTTCAACAGAATATCATTAATAAACAGACTTAATTTTAGTGTATAAAATAATTATCTTACATATATTTTTGGTGCAATTCACATGTGAATTACAGAAACCAACAAATAGACAAATGACTACTCATGTTCAACTGTGCGTCCCTTGTGAACACCATTTAATGTTTTCATGATACATAGCAGCATCACATTCTTGTAAGTGACTTGTGCACTTCCAAAAGACATTAAACAATGTTTTGACAGTAAAATTATGCTTTGATAGCACACTAAATTTGACCAAATCAAATGATGCTGAACTGCAAAAAAAATTTTTTTTTCACGATTCTTGAAGAACAGCAACAATTGTGATAAACTGCACTTAAGGTGATAATTAATTCTAAAACACTTACACAAGCACCAATAAGTACACTGTGCCAATTTCACAGACTACCAGCTTCCTGAGAATTACATCCTTAAAGTAAACTACAGCACATAAATGATGACAATCTATCAATGAATGAACTGAACTTATAAATATAAAAAACGATGAGTGGAATGTAACACCGGCCTGAAAAGTGTAATGGCACCAGCCTTTTTACAAGCAAAACAAAATTAAATAAATTACACCCTAATATTACTTGCATTCGTGCCAACTACATTCTTAACTGTTGGTGTTTTTGCAGCGAATGATGCTTACATTATCTCCTCTACATAACACACATTACGGACATAAGTGTTACTGAGACATAGATCTTGTGTCCTAATATTTATCAATACTTTGTCCACACCATCATTCAAATCCTACTACTAACTTTATCTCTGCTTTTGAATATGAGCTGCCACTCCCACTGCACCACCCAAAACGAAGCGTACAAACGTATCCCCAGCCAATGGGCCCAATGCATATAGACCCTTTGGTGCATTCAGAACACGGTATGAAACAGGATCTACATCAATAGGATTGGTCTTAGGGTCCACTGGTCGAGAAGGGTCGATGGCCAGCAGGTTAGTCTCTCCACTGGGAAGCTTCAAGTACCTCAAGTCAGGACGAGCCCCCACCAGAACTGCAGTGGCTGAGACACTGTACCAATCACCATCATTAATGGATGTTTCAGATTCTGCACAAGAGTTGTCTGCAGAAGACAGATGCTCAGATGATTTGGAGAAACGACTCTTGGGGCCTGAAAGCCATGCATGACCAGGCCTCAAAGCAAGCAGGTGCGTTTCAGGTAAGGCAGAATATTGAGGATAACCAGCTCCACCATCTCTCATCATCTGATGCACCTGCAATATAAGCAATTAAAATGGAGTCAAGTGTTACAGTCAAAGATTATCGATATTTCAATTTTAATAGTTAGGTTGTTTTTGGTGAAAAGGAGAAAGGTTAGAATAAAAACTAAACTGACAAGAAATTTTAATATAACAATAAATATAATGCCCTTATCTATCCTTCATTTTCTTCTTTAATTTTGCAAAACATATTCTTTAGTGAAAACGAATTGAAGTAGAAATAAATCTACTGAATGAAAAATGTATTATATATTTCACTTATGACAACAGAATACATTTCTTTCTGGAAAACAGCTTCTAATGTTCCTCTTTCATAATACATTTAAGTACATTCCACATTCTTCACTCAGCAGTAACGACACAAAAGATGTATTGAAACATGCAAAGATTTTGGAAATGCTGTAAACACTTAAAAGCAGAGAGATATACCTTGTGGTATTCAGGATACATGGAAGAAGGCAACTGCGTCAGCTCGAGTTGGGTGACCTGCCGTCGGAAGGCATGCAATACTGGAAAGCCACGGTGTCGAGCTGCAATCACAGCATCCGCAGCGCTGAGGCCAGCACCCACCACAAGCACCGGATCAGGAGCAGTGCCTGCAGCATTCGATTGCTCTCAACGAACCACACACTACAATGAGCATGTACTAGTCGCTCGGTGGGAATGGAAGCCGTGGCTCACCTGCGGCGCTGTGCTGGCGGGCGAGGGCGTCCAGCGCCGCCTCCAGGGAGCGCAGGTCGCGGTGGGCGAGCGCCTCGCCCGGCACGCCCAGGGCGTTGGGGCGGTCGCACGCGCCCGTCGCCAGCACCACGTGGCGCGCGGCGTAGCAGAAGCGCCGGCGCCGGCGCCGCCCGCCCGCGCCCTCCGCGTAGCCCTCCACCAGCCACAGCCCCTCCGCGCCGCCCTGCAACGCACGCCCAGCCGCCTCACCACAAGGTGCCTCCACGAGCCCGGCACGCGCCGCGCGCGCTATTACACACACATCATTTCAAGAATCCTTGCTACGGGCGGCTGAGTACCGCCATTCGCTCTCCAAAAGAGACTAAAAATGATGAGGGGTGTAGTGTCCGTTACCGTGAACGGAAGTTTGATGGAGAGACTGGATCGGCTTGGCGAGAGATTGGGCGCCTGAATGCAGGCCGGAAATATCTATGTGAAGTTTTGCTTGTAAAACCCAATTAGTTGCGACTTGGGGAAGGTGCTTCAGCAAATTAACCGGTGGTTCTGCAGTAAGGATCAAGATATCCGCGAACGCAGAGAAGGTAACTTTTGCCGGTCGATCTTGCATACATACTTTCACGATGAACACGTTTTCCAATGTTTGAACGAAAAGTGTTATTTAAATTACCTAGCGACGTTTGCTGAGAGGCAATACAGCTGCAGCTAAGTTAAAGGGGCGCAGCAAACTAACATGGGCATGCACATGTGCATACACTGTTGCGAGAATATCGGGTTCCGTCGATTGGCAACAGCCCACTTGAGGCTTCGCTCTCGCACACAGGGGTGCTTCAGCCGGGTCAATCGTTATGTCGTGGTTATGCATCGAAAGAAATCAAGTTCAACGCTCATCAAATTAGCACAGTGACATCGATAATTCATTAATTAGGTGAAAAGGGGTAAAGATGTTTCAGAAGTGCTTGTTTTTTTTTATTTTCCAACTTTCCACCCACTTCAGATAAGCGAGTTCTAAAAATTTCTCTTTATTTTAATGTAATCTAATTGGTATTTTAATGTACAGTAATGCATATCTAGTATTTCCTGTATGAATTATTAGCACGAGTTCAATGAATTTCTTATCTTATAGAGCAATTGATAATACATTTTCTTTATTTCCCATGAATTGTTCATTCCTCAAGAATGTAAATGGAATTACCCTACACAGATAATGCAAACGTAGTACCAAACAATGGATGTAATAGAAGTCCAAAAAATATAAATAATATTAAATTTCGTGTATCGAAGAAAAAACAAAGTCGTGTTACACAAGAGTTAATGTAGTGAGATGAAATAGCTAATAATGAATTTGTGGACCTTTTATGATTCATGGCATTCGGCACAGTATGGATAAAGAGCAAAGAATATGACCCATCCTCATTAGGAAGTGAAAATAGACTGCAACTCAACAGAAACTAGTGATGCTTCAGAAAAGTAAGAATAAAATTGCGCAATAAGTGCAAATATTTGCAAGAATATGAACTTGCAAACAGACCTTGGTCAATAGTGAAATCAATAATTGAGAGGTTTCGTGTTCTTAAAACAGAATCGTCCTCAACCAGCGGGAGCAGACGTCTCGTGTGAAGCGGGTGGATTAAACGATTTATGATTCCCGAAACAAAGAAGGTCAACAAAATTAGTGATGTAAAATTGCTAGGAGAATTGAGAAACCGTGGTGTTGAAATACCAGGTATTACAGTGCTTTATATTTTTAGGAAAATGGGTATCATGGGTGGTTTTGCCCACAAAACGAGATTGATGTGATTGATCGTTCGATGGTTTACCACACAAAATACCTGTCAGAGACTTGCTATGTCAGTGATTCCTCCTGTAAACTACAGTCACTCATTGGTTTCACACAGAAAGACATCCAAAGAAGGGAACTTTTTCTAAAATCTGATTGATTTTATAATCTTATCTTCTTACACACGATTAGACAATTATGGTCACACATTTACTTCAAATTCCTTGACGTTTAACTATTGGATTATTCCTTCAATCAATTCTAAACTACAAAAATAATATGCAGAGTTGCCTTTAGACCAAGTCTTACAAGATTTTCATTTACCAATGTCAACTAATTTCCTTTCACTTTCAAGTAGTCTTAGTGCCCAGGGGTGTAAGATTTTGCTGTGCAGACCTAGACCCCACTTCCGTAATTTGAATGAATTTCCAGCTCTTAGGAGTTCGATAAGTTGTATCAGGTTTGTAGGGGTAGGTCGTGGTTGGCTTTAATTCCAAAGCCTAAGCACTCGGGAAAGTTTCAAGTTTTATGCCAATATTCCTATTTACAATAATTCGCGGACATGCGGACAGGCAAGACATTCATTTTATCCAGGCTTTTTTGAGATTACAGCAGATACAAACACGTGTAGTCCGCGTACCCATAGGAAATATTTTGACGCGTTCTTCCTTATCGCCTGAGAACCCTCGTAATTCTGACTCGCGCCTTATCTATGTGATAAGAACCGTAACATGAACCCTACGCGGGATCGTAATTGACAATCTTGAGAGGAGTCACCGATGAAGACGTTCACAACGATAACATTTTCATATTAATGATCTAATCGATTTATCTACATCGATCTACCCTTTAGATGGCTACAGATGAATTTACTTACACACGGTTATTAATAAGAAATTGAAAAAGTAACGCCACGCTTCTGTGCCAACAGGCAACGAAAGCGACCTTCGTTTGCGCAACGCAGTCAAACTAAATCCTAACGAAGTTCTCGTAAATGCCATCTCGTCCAATTTCCTTCATTGGCATTCCTTGTAGACGGTACCGCCAGTCTGTAGCACGGATTGCCACCACGTTCTAAGTTGTGTTTTGGTATGAAGCCATTTTCACTTTTCAAGCAATGATTGAAGAAAGTGCAGAATGACCCCAAGGGTCCAACTAGAATTCGGTATTTCAGTATATTTACTTTTCATACTCTGTTTAATAACCCGATTCAATACAAATAAAAGCCTTCCAAGCAAAATTTTCCTCGCTCATTCCATTACATATGTTACTGAAGTTCAGGCCACTGACATGGCACGCAGAGAGCCCAGACATCTCCCTGACGACCAAAGCATAAGATTACGCTTAACGCGGAGAAGAAAATGTTCCGATACGCCAAATTAATCTTTTCGGCTTTCCACGCGATAGGCGCAATACGGTTCGTTCTAATCTGGAGCTTCGGATCACTGATTGTTACCACCGCATAAGACGCTGAAATCCAATCGTGTCTTGGAACAATTAACAAGGAAGATTAAGGAAGTTCGGCCTCGCATGTTTGCTATGCAGCTACATTGTCCTTGGAAACAAAGTTCAATCAACGCTGTTAGTAACGACTGTTATAACCAATACACGTATTCATTTTTGCATTGCGCTTTTCTGGTAATCAAAAAAATAGTTCTTTCGCCAGCCGTTAAAAATATTACTTCTTGGCCTCATTGTACACAGAACGAAAATGGTCATTCCTCAGCAAAATTTCACATAATTGTCGAAAACATTTAAGATTTATGCCCACAGTTTTGATATTAAATGTAGCTAACGTTAATTTACTAATTACTTTAATACCACCATTTTTTATACTGTTTTTATTTTTTTAAATACTAAGTCCGATAATATGACTACAACCATTACTGTGAAATTTTTTTGTTCAAAGGAAGATGCGCTTAAAAAACACGGCAACTTCTCTCAATGTAACTTCTTTATACGCATTTCCCTTCGCATAACGAAAGTTGGCAAACGCAGTGCCGAGGCCGGGCGAACCAAGGCCGCTGATTGAAAGCGCCAGAAGCGCACGCACATATAAAATAGAGGTCACCAGAGAACGTTTCCCTGATGGTTATGCAGATTCACGCGGAAAAGGCGACAGACGCCGGGCCGTGAGACGTTGAATGCCACGAACACAACGGGGAAACCCACAAGGTGAAGGTTTTATGTCGCTTCCCCTTCAAACATAGCACCACAGTATGGCACCTCTGTACAAAAATTCACTTCTTCCAAAGGTCGTATATTTGCTTAACATGAATAGGGAAAGTTAGTCCTACTCTACTAGGTATTCTGGCTTCTTGCTCTTATCCTCATTGAAACAGATTTCATAAAATAACGCAAATCTTATTTGCAGAGTTAATGTCAAATCAGCAAAAAATCCTTCAAATGAATATACCCAGGATGTGGCCTTCGAATTTCCACGCGAACGAAGAATTATACCCTGAATTGGAAAATAATCGAGTGGGATAAATGGTGTAGTTATTAAAGGACAATTCAATGCCATCACAGTGCGTAGCATGAATTCATTCATATTCATAGTATTTTCATATCTATTTTATATTTATATTCACACATGAATCCGGGATCGTGTGTCACGTTGGGAAATTAGAAAGCAACGCTTTCTTCAAACGCCCCCTGTCTGACCTGTACAGGATGAGACTCCGTTGAAGATGGAGCCTTGGTCAGAATCCTATGACTGATCTAAGGCTGGTTCCGGAGTGCGCGTTGCAGCTGCACCAGCAATTGGAGTTGGAACCGAGAGTGGATCTGGGACTGAGGCTGAAATTGGAGTTGGGGTTACCACAGGTGCTAAGGCTAGGGTTAGTGCTAAAGGCTGGGGCTGGGCCCGCGTCTGAGGCTGTTGAATCCTGGGCTTGGCAGGGCTTGGGGCCAGGGCTGTCAGGCTGGCAGGGCTTGGAGGCTTGAGGTGCCAGCGTGCGGCTGGCCGGGCTTGGCCAGGGCTTGAGCTGGGCCAGGCTCGCAGTGGGCCAGGGCTGTGCCCGGCTGGCAGGGCTGGCCCGGCGGGCCAGGCTTGGCGCGGCTCAGTTTGCGGCTTGGGCCAGCTGGGCCAGCTTGGGCCAGGGCTTGGCCACAGGGCTTGCGGCGGCCAGGGCTTTGGGCGGTGCAGGGGCTTGGCCAGGGGCTGTGCCGCTGCGGGCGGGCCAGGGCTTGGCCAGGGCTTGGGCCAGGGCTGGGGGCCAGGCTTGGGCCAGGGCTTGGCGCCAGGCTTGCGAGGTGGCCAGGGCTTGGGCCAGGGCTTGGGCCAGGCTGCAGGCTTGGGCCACGGGCTTGGGCCAGGGTGGCGGGCTCGCAGGCTGGGCCAGGCTGGGCCAGGGCTTGGGCCAGTTGGCCAGCGCTTGGCGGGGCCAGGGCTATGCGGCCAGGGCTTGGGCCAGGGCGTTGGGCCCAGGGCTTGCGGCCCATGGGCTTGGGCCCAGGGCGCTTGGGCCAGGGCTTGGGCCAGAGGGCTTGGGCCAGGGCTTGGGCCAGGGCTTGGCAGCTGCCAGGGCTTGCGCCAGGGCTTGGGCCCAGGGCTGTGGGCCAGGGCTTGGGCCAGGCTTGGGCCAGGGGCTCGCCGGCTGCCAGGCTTTGGGCCAGGGCTTGAGCGCGTGGGCACGGCTTGGGCCAGGGCTTGGGCCCAGGGCTTGGGCCAGGGCGTTGGGGGCTTGGCCCAGGGCTTGGCGGCGGCCAGCGGCAGCTTGGCCAGGGCTTGGCCAGCGGCTTGGCGGGCTTGGCCAGGGCTTGGGCCAGGCGCTTGGGCCAGGGCTTGGGCCAGGGCTTGGCAGGGCTTGGGCCAGGGCTTGGCCAGGGCTTGGGCCAGGGCTTGGGCCAGGGCTTGGGCCAGGGCTTGGAGCTGGGCCAGCGGCTTCGCGTTGGTGCTGGCCAGGCTTGGGCCAGGGCTTGGGAACCAAGGGCTTGGGCCAGGGCTTGGCGCCAGGGCTTGGCGCCAGGGCTTGCCAGGCTGCGGCCAGGGCTTCTGGCCAGGGCTTGGGCCAGGCTTGGGCCAGGGCTTGCCGGTCGGCCAGGGCTTCGGGCCAGGGCTGGGATCTTCAGGCCAGGGCTTCGGCCAGGGCTTCGGCAGGGCTCCAGGGCTTCGGCCAGGGCTTCGGCCAGGCTTCGCCAGGGCTTCGGCCAGGGCTTGGCCAGGCGCTTGTCTCGGCCAGGCTTCGGCCAGGCTTCGGCCAGGGCTTGGCCCAGGCGCTTCGGCCAGGCTTCGGCCAGGCCTTCTGGCCCAGGGCGTCGCGCCAGGCTTGGGCCAGGCTTCGGCCAGGGCTTGGGCCAGGGCTTCGGCCAGGGCTTCGGCCAGGCTTCGGGCCAGGCTTGGCGCCAGGCTTGGCCCAGGGCTTGGCAGGGCTGGGCCAGGCTGGGCCAGGGCTTGGGCCAGGGCTTGGCCAGGGCTTGGGCCAGGCTTGGGGCCAGGCTTGGCCAGGGCTTGGGCCAGGGCTTGGCCAGGCTTGGCCAGGGCTTGGGCCAGGGCTTTGGGCCAGGGCGCTTGGCCAGGGCTTGGGGCCAGGGCTTGGGGCCAGGGCGTGGAGCAGGCTTGGAGGCCAGGGCTTGGGCCAGGGCGTGGGCCAGCTGGCTTCGGGCAAGCGCCTCGGCCAGGGCTTCGCCAGGCTTTCGGCCAGGGCTTCGGCCAGGGCTTCTGCCAGGGCTTCCGCGCCAGAGTAATCGGCCAGGGCTATCGGCCAGGGGCTTCGGCCAGGGCTTCGGCCAGGCTTGCCAGGCTTGGGCCAGGGCTTGCAAGGCCAGGCTTGGACCGAGGGCTTGGCCAGGGCTTGGGCCAGGCTGCCGGCCAGGCTTGGCCAGGGCTTGGGCCAGGCTTGGGCCAGGGCTTGGGCAGGGGGCTTGGGCCAGGGCTTGGGCCAGGGCTTGGCGCCAGGCTTGGGCCAGGGCTTGCGGCCAGGGCTTTGGGCCAAAGGGCTTGCGGCCAGGCTTAGGGCCAGCGGCTTGGGCCAGGCTTGGGCCAGGGCTTGGGCCAGGGCCTTGGGCCAGGGCTTGGGCCAGCACGGCTTGCGGCAGCGGGCTTGGCGCCAGGGCTTGGGCCAGGGCCTTGGGCCAGGGCTTGCGGCCAGGGCTTGGGCCAGGCTTGGCAGGGCTTGGGGCCAGCGGCTTGGGCCAGGGCGTTCGGCCAGGGCTTCGGCCAAGGCGCTTGGGCCGTGTTCAGTGTCTGAGCTGGATCTGGTCTGACGCTGGACTGAGGGCTGAGGCAGGGAAGTCAAAGGCGCCTAAGGGCCGGCTCACCAGTGGCGCACGGCCGTCACGACGCAGCCGACCGAATGTAGCGGGCGATTGGCCGCGCGCAGCCACGTAGTCGGCGTAGTAGCGGCCACGCGCGGCGGCGGAGGACGCCCCGCCCGCCGCCCCCGCCTCCGCGCCCGCCGCCGCCGCCGCCGCCGGCGTCACCCGCGCCGCTCTCCCACGCGCGGAACGACAGCCCCGGCAGCTCCATCCACGAGGCCAGGCTCAGCGTCAGGATGCTCCCGTCCATTGTCTGCGGAGCCACAAAGCAATTCATAGCACTCCCACCCACAGGATTGCAAGCCACTGGTGCAAATAGCGCATCTAAAGAGCAAGAGGGCCTTTAGCTAAACGCATGAAAGGGCCCGATTCCTTTTAATGCAAGCGTTTACTTGTAGTTGCAAGCAGAAGCGGCATCGTGCTCATCCACGAGCGTTCTTAGCACGTCAAATGCTGAGAGCAAATCATAGCAAGCAATTAAAATACTAGTACCTTTCCGTAAATTTAGTTTAACCCGTATGTTTGTTGAATTAACGAGGCAAGAAGGTGCATAAGGCATACTAAAAATGGCAGTGGCCGATATTCGTGAAATCAACACCGTAATCCGATTACAATTTAGCAATTCAACACATAAATAGTTACACGAATGGAACACACATCAAACACGGAATTTCAAAATTTGAACATCGACATTTTGTTTTCACAGTCCCTTGCTTATCGTATAGTTCGCGCCCTCTCCGTCCGCAGAGCCAACGCAGCGTTCGGTTGCTCACCTGCCAGGCGCCGCCGGGCGGGCCCTTGCCCAGCACCACGTGGTCGACGGCGCGCTCGCGGCGCAGGCGCCAGCGCAGCAGCGACGGCCGCTCCAGGCCGGCGTCGGCGCCGGGCCGCTCCAGCGCGTCCAGCAGCAGCGCCAGCGGCGTGCGCGCGCGCCCCTCCAGCCCCTGCGCACACACAGCAAGGGCGTCACCCGCGACCGGCCCACGCACAGCGCTCCTCTGCCTAGTCCTATCCCCACCCTCCCAAGCACAAGCCCTGCATCGGGGGACCAGTCGCGGGCTCAGAGCAGGTCCCGGCTGGAGCGGTGCCCCGCTGGTGCAGAAACCTCAAGAGGGAAGTGCCCGCAAGTCCACGTCTATATCGGTCATCCCCCGTGATAAAAACATGCACTACACTTACGAGAATAGCGACCATAGCAGTTGACGCGCCCGGAATCACATGTTAATCAATCTGCCAATGGGGCACCGACCTAAGCTCCGAATCATCTCCCTCATTCTCTGCCGTATTATGCGAGGAGCATGTGTGGAAGCCGAGATGGCGGCAGCGTCAGGGGTGGGGGGCAGGTGGACGCGCGGAAGGCGGCGCGAGTTCGACTCTAGTGGCGCCAACAAGCGAGGAGTCAGCTGACATACGCGATCAAGAGAGCTGTGGTGAGACTTAGAGGGTTTTTCTGTACAAACCGTGGATTGTGACTACACTTTCGTATAATTACATGAACTACCACACATTTTGTAAGCGTAAATCTCGTCTCAGATGGGACGATGCTCCGCTGGGAGAATGGGAGGGAGTTCCAAAAACAGACTTCCAATCGGCGTCGATCTTCTAAAATTACGGAGGCGGAAACACCACCACTTGCCGGAATGTAGCAGACAAGACTGAAAGGGGCTAAAGACCCCAGAACCTGACGTGCCCGGAATCAATACTCCCTCACTGGATGGAACCCATATTCTCTCACTGCCCCTTTCAAGAAAGCCCGATCCCAATACCCAAGTCGGGCAGGTTTCTCTCGGGTTCTGGGTAAGTTTCAATTAGGTTCTATGCCATCTTATCCGGAAGTACGTGTAGGCATTGCCGCAGCACTTTCAACAATAAATTTCTCACAAATCATACTGGTGTCGACGGCATGGACGTTAAGTGATATGTAGAAATGATACGCATTCATTTGAAGGATGTTAGCCAACGTATGTTGGGGCTGTGATGCTTCCTATTGTATTGTCATTCTCCCGAACGTAGAATGTTTAAATGCAAAGCGGGAGGGAGCAACTCCGAGTGGGTCTGGCCCTCTCAGGGAGAAGTGCTGGTGCCAGCAGCCTTGAACGTTGCTCCTATCTTTATCAAGGAGCCTGTTTCCCAGTCAGGGCGTTAACACCGTGGCGATGAACTTCGGCCGCGGTCGGCAGTGGTCTCATAAAGTGGCTTGATGCTGAAGAGGAAATTGCAATGAAATATGGAAATACGAGTATTTTACGAGAGGTCTCATTTCGCAATTTTTCGAAATTACCTCTTCCTTTCCGAGACATCGTCCCAATTGCGCTAAACGCTAATTTCTAGAACCCGCAAAAACAGCATTGAAAATGTGTCGAAGATTACTATTTCTTCATTGTCTAATATTCTAACCAGAATTTGATCGAAAGCGCGTTTAACGGATTGGAGCGCACGTTGGGAAGTAGTTGAAATGTTATTTGAAGCAATGTGAAGGCAATGTGCACGACTTAACCTTTCAGGATGAACGTAAACACATTGGCAGGAATATGAGGAATATTCCTAGACAAAGGGTGGAATCAAGTGTGTTGCTCACCTCAGCTTGGACTGGACTGAGAAGGAACACAAGGTGAAAGGTAAAATCACCTTGTGTGGAGACAGCCATAAAGCCTAGACTAACAATTAGCTGATATTCAGAGCGTAAACTCATATGATCATTAGTCCCATAAGTGTAGTGCATGTTAAAATCCTGCCAACAGCTATGTTGTTCGTCTTCCGATGGCACGCGAGAACGACGTCGACCTACGCATCGACTTGCAGGGTTTTCCTCCCCAATCTCTCCCCTATTGCCCAACACCCCGCAGGGCCAAGTTAAAAGAGTGTGACTAGTGCCCCCGACGTGTGAGGTGGTGTAGTGTATGTAAGTGCAGGTGAGCAAGGGGAGCAGAGGAGAGAAAGAATGCAACGCGGTCCGTGTAATGCACTGATGCAGCTTTCGCCTGGAACTGAAATTGGAGAAACCACAGAATACCACCGATCACAGTAGCTGGCCGCCACAATTCTCCATGCAACAGGTGCATTGCGGCGATCCAGCTGAGTAGCTAGTGACGAAAATCTGCCGCCGTCGGGACTCGAACTGTAGGACCTTCAGGTTAGAGACGTTGCAGAAGTATCGAAAAGCCAAGGATTTAGAATCAACCTAAAGATATAATAAAATAGGAGCTGCCATGGAATAAGAAAATAAGGAAGAGACGAATAAAAGGAGATATAGGAGAAATGGCGGAGGAAGAGCAGAAGAAATAGACGAATAAATGCAGGAGGAGGAGAAAAAGACAAGGAGGAAGAAGAAGAACAAGAGGCGCACCTGTGCTAGGGCACGGAGGTCCTGCTCCAGCAGCGACTGCGCGGGTGGCGCCGAGCGCAGGCGCGCCTCCAGCAGCTCGTCCGGGTGGGCGTGGGCGTGCGCGCCCGGCGGCGGAGGCGACGCCGCCAGCGACGGCTCCCACCCCGCCAGCAGCTGCGACAGGCTCAGCGCCGACGGCCCGTTCCCTGCACATCAACACCCACGGATGCTACCAAAGACTCTTCGAGGACGTGTCAATCACGCTTTTATTCACATTTTAAACTCTTTACGCATAACAATTTTTTTAAATTATTGAATATTATGTATTTGTTATTTTTAATACGATATTATTAATTCATTGTTTTATTATTATTTAACCAACTTATTAAATTTTACATTAAAAATTAACAACAAAACTTCAAAGTAAACATTCTATTATTCTCACTTTGAAGAGGTTAGTTGTCATGATCCTCGATGACCTTTGGTCAAACAGTTGAATGCGTTGCTTCGCTAGCGGATTGTTTACTGATATATCCGGGAATTTCAATGCAAATGTCCTAGATTTTTTGTTGTTTTTTGTTGTTTTTGTTTCGGATGATATTTTTGAGGATGCAGAAGCCCCACGCTGAACTCTGATGCCTTCGAAATTGGAAACTATAGACGAAAACACATTTTTTTT